GAGAGTGGTCGGTGTCACAAGCTGCGCTCTGGAAGCTGCGTGTCAGTTTGACGTTTCTCAGAGTGCTACGCCCCGTAAACACCAGGTCGAGTTGGTACCAATGCTTAGACCTGGGGTGTCTCCAGGAAACCTTAGGCTGGAGTTTGGTGTCAAAGAAGGAATAGGTGATGCAGAAATCATGACGGCAGCAGAACTCCAGAATGCGCTGCCCACTCTCACTCATCTTCCCAAATCCAAACTGGCCCAGGCAGGAAGGCCAAGAGCTGTGATCAGAACCAACTCTTGCATTAAAAGAAAAGGCAGCCTTTTCAGCCAGCCATAAAAAGCCAGTCTCCCAGTAGGAAGATTGGCTCGTGTTGAGGTATGTCTCTGAGAGTTAGGCCAAGGTCATCATTGAACTCGTCCTTCGCTTCGGTAGAGGAGGTCAGTGTTGGTACATGGGCGTTGATGAGGCAGACCATTCCTGCTGCTGTATGGAGCTGAAGTTTGATGATCCTTGCAGACCCTTCCGTGGGCGGTACTATGGACCCTAACAACCTGTTACTGATGGAAAAGCCAACACCATGCTCCCTTACCTTACCTCTTCTGGTGATTTGCCCTGCCAGAAGAAGGTAAAGTCCTTCTCCCGAATGCTGCCGGTCGCGGGCAGACGTGTCTCCTGCAGGGCGACTATGTCCATCTGGAGCCTGCGTAGTTCATTGTTGATCACAGCTGTCTTGTGGGAGACGTTCACTTCCAGTAGATCTTCCGAGAGACCCGGTATCCTGGTCCTTACATTCCATGTGCCCAGTTTGAGAGCTGGGTGGCGCTGTGTTTGTTTTCTTTTGCCTGGTGCATGGTTGACGATCCGCTTATTGGATTGGGGGGCCTAAGCCCCATACACCCAGTGGAGCAGGCGGACACCCATGCAGCAGGTTCACCCCTCTCCATGCCACCGATGTGTTCCAAGGGAAGAGCAGGCGCCGATATGCTTGGCATCAGTGTCGTCGCAGGAGTTGCCAGAATGTAGCTGCAAACAGCTGCAAACTGCCTTAGGGACTCCGACTCCGGATTTTTCCTCAGGGTTGACTCTCGAAGTCTTTTCCATGAGTGGGTTTAGCCGCAAGACAGCAGTGGTTTGAATTCGGGGTTTTTCTTCCCCTAGATGAGCTGCCTTTCCAGGCTAACAAGTCCCATCTGCCCGTAGCAACTGGTTTCAAGGCGCCAGAGGCCCGCCTTCGCCCCTTCTGTTGGTAGAAGCAGTTCCGCCAGGCCTAGAGGCTAAGCCACAGGTGCAGGCCAGGAGCTGGATTTGGTTGTCAGAGGCTATTTGAGACGCACGCCATCAGGAGCATTGAAGATGGACAGCATTGAGTTCCTCATAGTGAGAGTAACACCCATAATTTCGACGTTCTCGCCACAGTTAGGCAGGTCTGTGATTGCCGTGGCATTGATATGATTTCTGACTAGAATTGAAATGCCTCTGGTGCTACCTTGTGCCATTGGGCAGTGGAAACCTTGAAATTCTGGGATATTGCTATATCTTTCAGTCCTGGTGATTGTTTCTTGAAGTAAAACAATATCAATGTTGTCCTTGAGAGGCACTGCTCTGAGTGTTTGTGCTTTGTTTTTGAATCCTTGAATGTTCCAGTGTATAATTTTGAGATTGTCCATTATTCTGTTAGAGTTGAATCCATTGAGTCCATGGTAGTTTCCAAAGTGCTGATTTTTCCCGACGGCTTGTGTCTCCTTGGCTGGAGTGAAGACTGCCATTGGGTGCTGAAACAGTTCAGTTTCGTCACCTTCTTCGACTTCTACTTCGTCAACCTTTTCAGGTAGGGCTTATGGAAGAAATAAGTTCAGTAGATTGTTTTTTTAACTTTGTTAACATTTCCTTCCTTACACACAGAAATCACAAGAGCGTTTATTCATTTCCTTTCTTGAATGTGGGTTGGTCTGTTTCTGGAATTCTGCTTCAAACATTTCTCAAACATTCTGCTTGGAATGTTTTGTCAAGCGTCTTGCTGAAGGTCTCTGTCAGGGAGGCAATAACCATTTGCATAGTCACTTGATACGCCTTTGGCTGCCTTTCATTTGTCTTGGTAGGTGAGGAGACTCTTGGTTGGGTCCTAGCGTCTTTGCTACATCCTACTACTGGGGCATTTGATGATGTAGGGATCGTCATTCGTGCTTGGGAGGTCTTGGAGGATATAGCAGGTGTATTGCTTCTGCTGCTCTGATCTATTCGGTTGTTGTTGCCTTGTGGAGTAGTGCTTTGTTTTCTCCAGTTATTGGAGGCCCTGTTCTTGCTCAGACTAAAAGGAATTGGTGCTTTTGTCTTTTGCTGATTTGTATCTTCATTTATTCGAACTTGCCGAGGAGTATACCACTAGTCTTAAACTGAGGTTCTTGTCGATTGTGGTCTAGAAGTTGTGCTTTGGGTTGCTAGGTAGATCCAGAAGTTTGTATACTTTTTACCCTTTCAGGACATCATTTGTTCCAGGCGTGATGTGTATCCTCGCAGATTGGATATTTTGCTTTTGTTGGTTTGCCTTCTTTATGCAGATTTTTGCATATGTCGGTGTTGTGGACCTCGCTGCATACTCCACATCGTTCTGGGCCTCTGCTGCCATTTTTATATTTTTTTTTTAACTTTGTTAACATTTCCTTCCTTACAGACAGAAATCACAATAGAGTGATGTATCAAATGAACAAATCCATAAGTCCACACCATGACATCACATCACTTTGCCCGAAATGCTATGCGCATTAGTGGCTTTAAGTATTGTATGTACTAGCTCTATCTATAAATCCAACATTGTGTTTGTAAATCAACTATGTATGTACTTTTCCTGAATAAAAAAAAAATAATTTAATTTAATTTTATTTTATGGTGGCCGAAGCGCTAACATCTGTAACAGTGCATGGGTTCTAGATTGTACAGCCTTAGAATGAATTGTCCATAAATCCCAACATTTAGAGTGTTGATGCGAGGTCCTTTTATTGTTACAAGGACCTGTCTTGTTTCTACATTGTTGTGCTTACACCTTTCCGCCATTGTGACATTTGGGCATTCTAAGAGTTTGTTTGCTTTAACTTCAACCGGGAAATGTTGCACTATCATCTTGGTGATTATTCCTCAGGTTTCAGTTCAGCTAGGTCTTCTGTATTCCTGAGGTTTGTAATTATATCTGGATTAGCTGTGGATATGTTATATCTGCCATAACTTCACGGATTTCTCCCAGGAAACACACGCACATCGCTTCCTGAGCAACACATTTAGTGCAATGCAACCATGTCCCTCCAGGAAATGACTCTTCTGACTAACCTTCTGAAATAATTAACGTCAGGACACAATGATCTCATAGCAAGAGCAAGGAAAATTGCTGAACATGAATGGAATAGTGAATCACAGGATAATCCTACTCACAATGAGCCACTGTGGCAAATTGTAGGAAACGGAAAAGCAAATAAACGAAGAAGAACCGAAGAAACGCCTGAAGAAACCAATTTAGAAGCCAGCCAGAACCCAAGAGCAGCCCCCAAACAATGCCAAGGACCATCTTCAAAACCAAAAAAACAATAGATGGTCCCACTTAAGCTTACATTGCCGCACTGGAAAAAGATCATCCAAGATCAGATGTTAGAGCCAAACCTGACATTTGAGTCCAGGTTTCCTAGCGGTTTATATATGTGTGTCACCAGTTGACAGGTGTGGTGGCAGATGACCAGTTTTGGGACTAAGAGCCATAGGATGTCCAGAACCCATTTGGGAGTTTTATTAACCTTCACTATTAAAAGTTGTTACCTTGATTGGTCAATCAACTCCCCCAGGTTGATTGGGGGAGTTGATTGACCAGGTCCCCCAGGTCCCAATCAACTCAAGGTTGATTGACCTTGAGTTGTAAAGAGTACAAATTTTGACATGTATTATGTCGTGCCTTATACATATAAATCTTTATGTTATGTACTTTGCTGTTTCCTAACTCCTTGAATTCCCCTTGGCTCAAGTTAAAGCTTCTATTCCCCCCCCCCCCCCCCGACAACATTTACAAATTCACGACCACACACTCCCCAGTCATAACAGAATTGGGGGCCTGTCTGGGAGGACCTCACATATTGGAAAGCCTGATCGAAAGCTTGATAAAAAGGGGTAGCCTTTATGTGAAACCTGACATAAAAATTGTGAAGCCTATGCAGATGAGGAGTCACAATAATGTGGGTGAAAAATGTTTGACCAAACCACACACTAGAAAGTGAAGAGATGATAATGTTTCGGTCTGTCCTGGACCACTATCAAGTCGATTGTGAATATTATCACAAACGAGTTGGTGATGGTCCAGCTGTGGCCCAGAACAGACCGAAACTTCGTTGTCTCTTCACTTTCTAGCGTGTAGTTAGCTCAAACAATTGTGTAGCCTTTTTATTTGATTTGTGTAGAAATTTAAAATACTTTTAATATTGGTAGAAAATGAATTTATGTAGTCTATTGTATATTGTTTGTAGATTATATTAATCTTTATGAAAAGCGTTAAAAAATTGTGGTCTCAAGTGCAAAAATTTGCCAGTGGACAGGGCAGTCAAGTGAACTAAGCACTGTCCCCATCTGTTTTTCGAAACTAATTCTGAGCTTAAAAGAGGAAGCTGGTGCTGAAGCTTCAAATTCGTGTTTGAGTCTGCTGTATCTTAGCACGCAAACATTGGATTTGGTAGCAGAACAAATTGTTGACAATCATTGAGGATTTGAAAGCGGCAAAAAAGTCTATCTTAGTGGCTGTTGCCCTGTCTTATCAACTGGCAAAAATTCGATCTTAGTGGCTGTTGGCAAGCACTATGGAATATTATTGCACATGGAAATGGTGATGAAGGACTGCTAAGAGAGGTAATGATGGACTGGCTAGATAAGCAAATTCTCACACAGGAAATATTGGGCAAATGTGGGGAAATCTCCCCCACAACAGTCCCGCGTCCACCAGTGGTGCACATGTTGTTGCAAAAATAAATGTAGAGACTCAGACACAATGGCATGCAGAATTGGAATAAAGAAGTTGCAGTTTAAGGCAGAACAAGCTCAGAAGAGGCTACAGGCAGAACAAGCTCCGATAAGTCTAGAGGTAGAACAAGCTCAGAAGAGGCTAAAGGCAAAGCAAGAACTAGCTATAAAGAGGTTAGAAGTGGAGCAAGCTCAGAAAAAATGGGAGTCAGAGATTAGTCTAGCAGAATTTAAAATTTGATCAGAAAATACCGGTGTTGTTGACTTAGATTTTGGGCCCAGGAAAATAGACAGCTTAGCTGTAATTTAGGTTTTTGGAAAAAATCCTTCCTGATGTCTTGAGGAATTCCTATGGGGAAAATTCGTAGCAAAAGTCACCGCTGCATTCTTAAAGGATTCTTATGGGATAAATTCAAGGCAAAAATCATTGTTACATTCTTAACAAATTTGCAATCATTATATTCCAGCATAGTTGAGGCAGTTGATAGTGGTAAGGATTGTGAAGTTGTGTAACTTAACTTCAGCAAAGCTTTTGATACAATGCCACATGAAAGACTGATTAAAAAGATAGAGGCCCATGGTATTGGGGATGCTATATTAAGTTGGAATAGGGCATAGGTATTCCAAAGGAAACAGAGAGTATAAATGGGGTTAAGTCAGAATAGGAAAATGTTGTAAATAGGGTGCCTCAAGGCTCTGTCCTGGGACCTATGTTAATTATAATATAAATAATTGATTTAGATTCAGGTTTGAGCAACAATACTTGCAAATATCCCAATGGTACAAAAATCAGGAGAGAAATAAACACAGAAAAAGAATCACTATCACTTCAAGACTATCTAAATAGGGTTTTGAAATGGTCCTAAGATTGTAAGAGAGAGACAATAGACTGATAAGTGTAAGGTTTGAGGCTAAATAATGATGATAAGAGTGACAAAATACGAGCTAGTTGGTGTTGAGACTACGAAGTCAGATTGTAAAACGTATCTGGGAATTATGATTAGTAAGAATTTAAATCCAAAAAAATCAGTGGATAAATGTTCGTAATAAGCCAAAAAGGACACTGGGATTGAATAATCGAAGCGTTAGTAACAAGACTCCTAGTGTTGTTTTCAGCTATATTTTGCTCTCGTTAGGCCCCATTTAGATGATGCAGTTCAGTTTTAGTCACTATATAAAGTCCATTTAGTCACTAGTTACAATGGATATAAATTCACTTGAACGTGCCCAGCGTAGTATGACAACGTTAATCCCCCAAATTAGAAACCTGTCATATGAAGAAAGATTAACAAAGCTTAAAATGCATTCATTGGAAAGGCGAAGAGTTAGTTGATATATGATAAAGGTTTACAAGTAGATGAATAGACATAATAAAGGGAATATTATTAGTGTTTTAAAAGTATCAACACACGACAGAACATGGAACAATGGGTATCAATTGGATAAGTTTAGAGTCAGGAAAGACCTGGGTAAATACTGGTTTGGTAACAGGGTTGTTGACTTGTGGAACCAATTACCGCATAACGTGGTGGAGGTAGGGTCCCTCAATTGTTTTAAACGTGAGTTGGACATATGTGTAATTGTAATTTGTAGTGTAATGTAATTTGCTATGAATAAATTCTTAATCTTTAAGAATTTAAATTTTTATATTTAATTTAAATTTTTATTTATTCTTAAATAGAAGTATGTGTTTGTGGGAGAAAGAAATTGGCAAAATGATCAGGGAAAGAGAAGGGGGTCAAAATAACATTACACTTAGGGTATATTATACTGACAGTAGAAGTCTAAGAAACAAAATAAACGAATTAAATGCTCTTGTGTCTACAGAAAAAATAGATATTATTCCACTTACCGAAACGTGGATGGATGTAGAAAATAGAGAACTATTAGCTGAATATCAGACTAATACATTTAAACTATTTCACACAGTTAGATATATTAGACGAGGAGGGGGAGTAGCCATGTATGTTAGGGACAATATGAAATGTAGTCTCAAAGAAGGAATCAAAAGTGAGCCGCACCCAGAAACTATTTAGATAGAATTAAAAGAAAAAGCAAATAATCTTATAATAGGAGTTATATATAGGCCACCAAATTTAGACAGAATCTAAGCAAAACATCTATGGGAGGAAATATCTAGAGCATCTAGGTCTAAAAGTATTTGTCTTGGGTGACTTTAATTTTAGTGGAATAAACTGGATTAACAGAACAGGGAATAACGAAGTAGAAGATTTTCTAGAATTAATTGACGATTGCTTTCTTATGCAACACATTAAGGAACCAACGCGGGAAAAAAATATTTTGGTTTAGTGTTAACTAACAGGGAAACACAGAATAATAACATCGAAATTGGGAGTGTACTAGGGAACAGTGATCACAAAGAAATCAGATTTAGCATAGAATGGAATAGATCTGGAGAAGAAAATTCTGTTAAAGTGCCAGATTTTCGTAAAGCTAATTTTAATATCCTAAGAAATTGTTTAGGTTAAATAGATTGGAAAGTCTTGGGCATAGGGAGTGGGCCGGTTTTGGAGCAAGACGTGAACTCAGCGATGGGTGATGTAAAAGGGATTTCGATTTGGATTCAAAATATAACTTATTTACAAATATTCTAAGCAAAGCACAGGAAAGTAGTACATAAGAACATAAGAACAAAGGTAACTGCTAAATGCCTATTGGCCCATACGAGACAGCTCCTATCTATAACCACCCAATCCCACTCATATACATGTCCAACCCAAGCTTGAAACAATCGAGGAACCCCACCTCCACCACGTTACGTGGAAATTAAAGGATCTGAAAAACCTTATAGGTAGAAGGAGAGCTTGGTACAAAAGGATTAAGAATGAGCACAACTGGTTAAAGAAATGTTAAAAAAGAGATAAGAAGAACAAAAAGAAAATATGAAGTTGGTATAGCAGGCCAAGCAAAAGCAAATCCTAATTTTTTTCAGTTATATCGAACAAAGGTTAGGGTAAGGATAGGTCCATTAAAAACCGAGACAGATCAGATAACGGATAATGACGAAGAGATGAGTAGAATTTTTAATAAATATTTTGTCTCTGTATTTACTAAAGAAGAACTTAACTCTATGCCTTCACCCAAACAAGTCTATTTGGGTGGGGACGAGGACAGGATGACTAGTCTAATAGTTACCAGGGATGATATTGTTAAACAAATAGTAAAACTCAAACCAAGCAAATCCCCAGGACCGGATGAAATGTTTGCCAGGGTGCTTAAAGAATGGAAAAAGGAGTTTTGCGATCCATTGTCTACCATATTTAATAAATCATTAGAGTCAGGCAGAGTGCCAGAGTCGTAGAAGGTTGCTAATGTGGTACCAATTTTTAAGAAAGGTGATAGATCATTTGCATCAAACTATCGGGCAATTAACCTAACGTCTATTGTGGGAAAGTTACTTGAATCGATAATTGCAAATACCATTCATCTTCATCTTGAAAAACAAAAATTAATAAACGAGTCAGAATATGGTTTTACAAATGGCCGTTCGTGATTAACAAATTTGCTATCTTTTTATTCCAGCATAGTTGAGGCAGTTGATAGTGGTAAGGTTTGCGATATTGTATACCTTGACTTTAACAAAGCTTTTGATACAATGCCACATGAAAGACTGATTAAAAAGATAGAGGCTCATGGTATTGGGGGTGCTATATTAAGTTGGATTAGGGCATGGCTATTCCAAAGGAAACAGAGAGTTAGTATAAATGGTGTTAAGTCAGGGTGGGAAAATGTTGTAAGTGGAGTGCCTCAAGGCTCTGTCCTGGGACCTCTGTTGTTTATAATATATATAAAGGATTTAGATTCAGGTTTGAGTAGCAACATTTGCAAATTTGCCGATGATACATAAGAACAAAGGTAAATGCAGAAGGCCTATTGGCCCATACGAGGCAGCTCCTATTTATACCCACCCAATCTCATATACATGTCCACCCCACGCTTGAAACAATCGAGGAACCCCACCTCCACTACGTTTCGTGGTAATTGGTTCCACAAATCAACAACCCTGTTACCGATCCAGTATTTCTGAAGGACCAGAAGATCCAGAATGACCTCCCTTCTCTCCCATCCCTCAAGCCCTCCCTTCTCCCATATGCTCTCCCATTTCTCCCATACCCATGCCCTCCGTTCTCACCTACCCTTGTAAGCCCCCTGCTCTCCCCCACCCCACCTGAGCCTTCCCCTCTCCACCAGGAAACTAAGAAGATGAAATTAGGTACTTTTTGGTTTTGCTTTTAAATAAGGCAAAGGTTTTACAGCTTTTCAATTCACTAGGGAGTGAGTTCCATACACTAGGTCCCATAATTTGCATAGAGTGTTTACACACATTAAGTTTGACCCTGGGGATATCAAAGAGATATTTATTTCTGGTGTGGTGATAATGGGTCCTATTACATCTGTCCAGGGAGAGTTTCAGAGCATGGCTTGCATTTAAGAACAGGGTTTTGTAAATGTAGTTGACACAAGAGAATGTGTGGAGGGAGTTAATATTTAGCAAGTTTAGGGATTTAAATAAGGGAGCTGAGTGTTGTCTGAAAGCTGAGTTAGTTATTATTCTGATAGCAGATTTTTGCTGCGTGATGATGGGCTTAAGGTGGTTTGCAGTGGTAGACCCCCATGCACAGATACCATAATTAAGATAGGGGTAAATTAGTGCATAATATAGTGAGAGGAGAGCAGAGTTAGGAACATAATATCTGAATTTGGAGAGTATACCAACTGTCTTAGAGACTTTCTTAGTTATGTGTTGAATGTGGGTGCTGAAGTTGAGTCTCTTGTCTAGGAATAGGCCAAGAAACTTGCCATCATTTTTATTACTGATGTTAATGTTGTCTATCTGTAGCTGAATTGCATTTGATGATTTGCTTCCAAATAAGATGTAGTAAGTCTTTTCGATGTTTAATGCTAGTTTGTTCGTTGACATCCATAAGTAGACTTTTTTTAATATATTATTCACAACATTATTTAGTGTATGTGGGTGAGGTGTGAATAGATAAGGGTTGTATCGTCAGCAAACAATATAGGTTTGAGAATATTAGAGACATTAGGCAGATCGTTTATATATATAAGAAATAGAAGAGGTCCTAAGATACTGCCCTGTGGCACTCCAACGGTAATTGGTAGAGTGGAAGAAGTCGTATCATTGATGGTTACATATTGGTGTCTGTAACTAAGATAGGATCGGATGTAGTCAAGGGCAAGGCCTCGGATTCCATAATGCTGGAGTTTAAGTAAGAGGTAGTTGTGATTAACAGTATCAAAGGCTTTTCTTAAGTCAATGAAGAGTCCAATCGGAAACTCATTTTTGTCAAGGGCTGAGTAGATAACGTCAAGGAGACTAATGATTGCATCGTTGGCGCTCTTTTGGGACCGGAAGCCAAACTGGCTGGGGCTGAGTATGTCAAATTTGACGAGGTAGAAATAGAACTGTTTGTAAATAATTTTTTCAAATATTTTTTATAAAATGGGTAG